CAACCAAGTCTTAGGGTTCAGGAGTTGGTTATGCAAGGGGAAGGTGTTAGCACCCCCTCGCATCCATCGTACTCGATGGGAACCTTCTAGGTAGTTTAACATGAATGGGTATTTTTATAAAAAGGTGTGCTTGCTTAAGGGAAAAGAGGGGGTTGGTTTTTATTTTAATGCTCGCCAAGGATTGTGGCCCTTGTGCCTACATATCCTCACTTAAAAGAAGTGAAGAATCAGAGCTCCGTAGTTCGGAGGCTTGTGAAATGATTGTTTGTTGGTTGATTTTATACCTTGAAAAGGGGTTTTCAGATTGATGCCCTAAGGCAAAAATAAGTTTGATGAGTTGATGTCATTTTTAGGTTTTTTAAAATGAAATTGTTCTTGATAAGGACCACACTAAAACTTTGGATAGAGATGAATGTTTCGAATAACCAAGTCGAGCGCCTTGTATTCAAAACATTCGGAACGAGTGTAGGAGGGTTCCATTCTCGTTCCTTCTCCACTACTTTAAAGTTCATGGCGTATAACCCTAATCGTATATTTATTGTGTTTTGGATTTTTTATGAGATGAATACCACTAGATGTTGGATCAAGGGTTTTATTGCTTGTGAAAATGTTTGAAGCGATGCGAACAAGGTCGATGGCGAGCGCACAAGGCGGTCGACTTACAAGGGTGAAAATGGCTCGATAAAATGGAGAGTTTATTTTTGAAAATAGTTTTGGAACCAAAAGTCAAACATAACCACAAACATCCGCATACAAAGGTCGTGCAACCACATTGGGTTAGTCGACACAAAAACAACACAAAACATGAAAAAACAGCATGAAATGCCATCAAGGAGTTCGCGTGTGAACTCCTTGAGAAAAAAAAATTGGGAAAAAACAAAACTAGAAAAAGAAGGGGAAGTTCACTAGGCAAATGTTGTAGAGAAGATGCCCAGAAACATCATGAAGTTCCCTGGGCGAACTAACCAGCGAACGCAAACAGAGGAAAAGGGGGGAAAATTTCGCTAGGCGAAGGTGCCAGCAAAACTGCCCAGAAAAAACAACAAGAAGTTCGCTAGGTGAACCTCTAGCAAACGCAAACAGAGGCGAAATGGGGCAAAGTTCGCTAGGCGAAGGTGTCAGCGAACATGACAGAAAAAACATCAAGAAGTTCGCTAGGTGAACTTCATGTTGTTTTGCCCAGACCATGCCTTTTTTATGAAAAACAGTGGGAAAACATGGAAAAGTTCGCTAGGCGAACTTGCCAGCGAACGTGACAGTATTTTGAGTTTTTCAACTCATGTCACCATGGAAGCTACACTATGCTCTATCTTTGTTTCTTACTTCTTTTTACAATGGTTTCTTGGTCATATCAAGACCTTATTACAACATACAATATAAGCAAAAATAACATGAAAATAAAAACATGCAAAACGTAAAGAGGTTAGAGTTTAAAGGAAGGATACCCAAGAAATACTAGCTTCCTTCAACACCAATGGCTTTGTTGGATGTCCTCCTCCTTCTGATTTTCTAACACTCTTTTTTTCTCTCAAATTTTTTCTTTTCAATCCTTTTTCTGTTTTTTTTTCTCTTACTCTTTTTTCTGATTTTTTCTCTCTAGGGTTTCTTACTCTCAATCTCAATGTGTAGTCAATGCTGAGTATGCTCTCTTTGCAGCCCCCTCTCTTCTTTTATCTCAGCCCTTTAGGGTTTTCCTTACTTCCAAAATATCAAATTTTTTCATGGGATAATGTCTCTTGCCACTTTCCTCATGTCACTCTCTTTCTTTCCATTTCCATGCAAGTTGTTATGCTGCATTTTTGTTGCACTACTTACCTATGTTTTCATTTTTCTGCAGCACTCTACATTGCCCTCAAACCTTGTACCCCTTTGTTGGCTTGTGTTTGGACAGCTCTTGTGGTCAATGCTACTACCTTTTGACAACATTTTGAAAATTCTGATATTTGACGTGTAGATGCATCATTGAGGGTTCATTTCCTTAGTCTTGTGACATGTAATGGTTTTGTGATATAATGCAAATTGTCACTTCTTGCATGGGGCTATTTTGGATCACATTAAAATTACCCATGGCCAAACAAACATAGTCTTGATCTTGACATATTCCAATGTTGAGTTAACTTCTAATTATTTTCCTTGGATGTTTGTGGGCATAATGTGGAACATGTAGGCTTGTTGGGGCATGAAGGGTACCATTGCATGAATTTGATTAGAGACTTGCATCAAGATTAGAAATAAATTAATTTCTAAACATTATTTAGAGTTGGAAATTTTGTAACAAGTGCGGCATTCTTGCAAATTTCATAAAATTTCTCTTTGTAATATTCTTGAGTCTAGCCATGAATTCATGAATCTTGAACTTTGAATGATGGATTTCCTTTATACCATTATTTGGAATGAATGGAATCTTGAATTATGCACTTGTGATCTTGACTTATGCTTTGCAAATTTGAACTTCCCTTTGATCAAGAATTTGAAACAAAGTCGGAGGAAGAAACCTTGAATTAGGCATTGCACTTCATGTATATTAGGAATATTGATCTTGAATATTCTAATATTTTTCAAGTAACTTCTCCTTGAAGAAATCTACATGAGTAGACTTTCCAAATTGACTCAAACATTATATGATGAACCTTTTCTTTCATGTAGCCCATGATAGGCAAATAATCCTATTTGGAACGAACTGACCCAATCCTCACCTTGTGAACCCACATGCTCGGTATGCAATAGAACGATGTATAATATGATGAATGTATGGTATAAAAGGCTAAAGATGAAAATGAGGGTGTGACACAAAGGTTTGCGAAATTTGTCGTTGGGTGGAATCTTGAATGGTTTTGAATCGAATGAGAAGCTTAAATTCTCCTATGAAAAGAACATGAATCACCTAATCAGAGCTTGTGAATTTCTTGAATTTTTGACCAAATGTCTTGACTTTTAGTGGCTGTGTAACTTGATTTCATCAGATAACTTGAATCTTTACACAAAACCTTAATCTGGATCCTCAAGCACAAATTCTCAAATTCAATCCACACTTGTCCTCAAAATAGCCCAAGACACAGATGATTTGGGATACTAACTGCACTGCCACTTTACCGAAATCTTTAATTGAAATTCACCTAGCCTTGATGATTATCCACCTTCGAACAAACTGCCTTTGCCACAACCTGATAACTTAATACTAAAGCAAACCACTTCTTTAAGCAAGATTAGGTCGAATTCCACTGAATTCAACTGACCCTGCCCACACACTTGGCCTGCTAACTTTGCCTGAAACCTGATTCAAACTTGCAAGACCTTGAGCAGGAAAAACGTATTTTTGATTTTTGGAATGTGGTAAGCGGATGGATACACAAGTGAAAGTTATACACAGGTAGGACAAATTTGGAGTATGACAGTGTGGTATTCTAATGGAGAAATAATGCCAAAGATGAATAGAGAGGCTTCAAGCAGTCCAACACATGTTGGACCTGAGGTAAATAGAGAGGCATCAAGAAGTCAACCATATTTGCAAGACCATGAACCATTTAATCTCATAGATGATATGGCCGGTGATGCATTAGGGGTGAATGTGAGTTATGATAAACCTCAAGATTTTGATCCAGATGAGCTTCCAAACAAGAAACTACAAAAGCTTTATCAATTGTTGAAAGAAATAAATATACCACTGTTTGAGGGGTCTTCTGCCTCCAGGCTATCCATGTGTGTGAGGTTCTCGGTTGCGAAGTCAAATTGGAATGTTCTTGATCAATGTTTAGAATTCTTTTCAAAAATGGTTTTGGATGCGAATCTTGTGAAAGAAAACATGCCTACAAGTTATTATAATGCAAAGAGGATGATGTCGAAGTTGGGACTAGAAGTAAAAAGATTGATTGTTGCATTGGAGGTTGCATATTGTTTTATGATAATGAGTTTGGTATAAATGAAGGGGGGATGGAGGAATGTAAGTTTGTTAGAGTTCGAGGTATTTAGTTTGCAGTAAAAGCGTTGATCGAATTTCATGGGAAAATTGCGTTGTTTGACTGTAACCGTAGGTTCTTACCTATAAACCATGTTTTTAGAAAAAATATGAATTCTTTTAGAAAAGGATAAAAAGTAACAAATCTTCCTCCCCCTCTTTTGTCATCGACTGAAGTATGGAATAGTGTTTGTGACCTACCAAAATTCATTGATAATGGTAAAACATGCAGAATTCAAGAATATGAGGACACACACAATTGGACAAAAATAAGTATTTTTTGGTACCTCACATATTAGAAGGATAATTTGTTGCGACATAATCTTGATGTTATGTACATTGAGAATAATTTTTTTAATAATATATTTAACACAGTGATGGATATCCAAGGCAAGACAAAAGATAATGAGAAAGCTAGAAAGAACTTGGAACTTTTGTGTAATCGAAACGACTTGGAGTTGAAACCTCAACCAAATGGAAAATTATTAAAACCCAATGCTTATTACACTCTTACTCCCCGTGAAGAAAAAGCAGCTTGTCGGTGGTTATATGAGTCGAGAATTCCCTATGGTTATTCTTCTAACTTAACAATATGTATTAATGCAAAAACTGGGAAGCTGCATGGAATGAAAAGTCATGATTGTGATGTTTTCATGGAACAATTGCTTCCAATTGCATTCAGTTCACTTCCCAAGGATGTTCTTAATCCACTAAATGAGATTAGTTAATTTTTTAAAGACATTTGTGCATCAACTTTAAGAGTAGATGACATTATTAAATTGGACCAAAATATTCCTATCATTCTTTGCAACTTGGAGGAAATATTTTCGCTAGGTTTCTTTGATTTTACGGAGAAACTCTCTGTGTGTCTTGCTTATGAAGCTTAACTTGGTGTACCTATTCAATATACATGGATGCATCCATTTGAACATTCACAGGTGATTCAAAGCAATCAGTTAAAAATAAGGCAAAAGTTGAGGGATTAATATATGTGCGTGACTTGTATCGAGAAACTTCACATTTTCTCTCTCATTATTTCAATCATATGATGTTGAATCCGAGAATAATAAGGAATGAAGTTCACTTTTGTGGAAGAAGTCAATTCACCTTATCAATTTTTGGTCATCTCGACCGTCCTTCTGGAAAGATGAGCGTGCATTGGCTATCAGAAAAAGAAATGCAATCTGCTCATGTTCATGTGTTGATTAATTGCATTGAAGTCAAACCATATCTTAAGTAAGTATATTAAATTAAGTATTTATTTATTTATGGATAAAAATACTTGTCATCTTTAACCTAGATATTTTTTTTCGAAATAGGGCATTTAATACCTATTATTTTCAAAGCACGGGTGAACAATCATCGTCTGATTACACACATGCCTATTTTCCTGCACTGTTCAGGCAACAATTATCATGCGTTGTTGCACCAAGCCCGGAAATAATCCATTTGAGAAGTTTATCTGAAGGCCCTTATCAACGTGCAAATTAATGGCACACATACTTTGCAAACAAATATAAATTCCACACACAAACATGGACAAAGGGAAGAAAATAATAAACAACAGGGTAGTTGTAAAAGGAGTTGCGAAGGGTGGTGAAGACGACTTTTATGGTGTTATCACACATATTTATGAGTTGGTATATAATTATATGTACTTAAAAAATAAAGTTGTCATGTTTTATTGTGACTGGTATGATCCATCTTCTAGAGGAACTAAAATAGATTTTAAAAAATATAACATTGCTGAGGTTCAAATGGATAGAAAGTACAGAGAGTTTGACCCTTTCATAATGGCACATAATGTTAGGAAATTTTACTACATACCTTATCCTTCAACTCAACTAAGTAAATGAGGATGGCATGTTGTAATCAAGTCCAACCCAATGGGTTATATTGAAACCGACGGTGTAATGGAAAATGATGTTGCATACCAAGATGATAAGATTTCACCAGTTAATGGGATAATTGAAATTGATGAGATTACAAGTTTAGGTGATACTGTAGTTGTGGGTCAACAAGTTGACGCAACTATCTTGTTGTTAACAAATCATGTGGAAGAAGAGCAAGAAGTGTCAGGAGAGTCTGAAGACAATAATATCATATTTGATGAAGACAATGAAGATTACAATATATATATATATATATATATATATATATATATATATATATATATATATATATATATATATATATATATATATATATATATATATATATATATATATATATATATATATATATATATATATATATATATATATATATATATATATATATATATATATATATATATATATATATATATTATTTGCTTAAATAATATGTATGGAGGAAGGTAAGTGTTTATGTTTTATATATTATTTTTTAAAATTTAAATATGAGTTGTTCTTTTAGTGTGTTAACACTAACTCAAAGTTTTGTTCTTTAACCTTATACCGTCACATCAGGTATCGTGTATAACCGAATTTATTAAATAAAATAATAAAAAGTTTTTGCTGACTTATGGAGCACTTTCCGATAAAGAAAAAGAAGATTGATTTAGTGTATTTCAGGTATAAGGCCGTCTCATTTAAGTAATTATTAATTTAATTTCCTTTATATTTATTGAGATATTCATGATTATATTTTATTTAATATTTTTTGAATTTATAAAATAATATAGGAGAAATGTTGTTGGGACATTACAAATCAGCACCAAGTAAGAGAAAATTTTGACTCGAAATGTGTTGTGCGATTATCCGACACGCTTAAGCGTGTTAGACTTAATCGGGAAAGAAAATGATCATGTCCCTATTGGATAGGTGAAGATGTATTTCAACAACTTATTGACCATTAGAATTCAGATATCTTTAAGCAAGTATCTGAAACAGTAAAAAAACAGAGTATCTGAAGTTGGTGGCTGCAACTATGTAACAAGCAGTATTAGTGTTGCTGAAATTGCATGAAGGATGGTAAATTTATTTACGTTTTACTTAAATTTTTATTTAGAATTTATATTGTAACTAATTTTTTTTAATTATGTTTCATTTAATTAGCGTGAAGAGTTTGGTAGAACTCCGTTTCTTAATGAGATCCATCTAGAAAATCATATCAAGAAAAATGGGGAGTTTGTCGATCAACGCTCAAAAGACACTCAAGTAAGTTTTTCTTATATTTAGTCATTTTACTTATTTCTTTTATGTACCTATCTTATTTAAATTATGATAACATCTAATTTATTTATTTTTATAGGAGGAGTATGATATAAAACTTGCACTTTCTTTATCAGAGCATCCTAAGTTACCTCCACCACCACCAGGATATCCTGTTGATCCTTGTCTGGGTTTTTAGACTTGGTATGATGTTGCTCGCGGGAAGAGGGAAAATGGGAGAGTGTATAGTGCTAGAGGGTATGCCAAAACAACTAAGCGACGTGATAGAAGTTTCAAAATGAAACTTGATGATGGAGAAGAAACATCACATCTACCTATATTAACCATTGATATGCTAGAAACTGTGAGAAACTTGGCGCAAATCGAGGCAGCACACGAAGTAGCAGTAAGACATGCAGAGATGGAAGAAATAAGGAGAAAACAAACAGAGAAGGGGGAGAATTGAGGAGGAAAATAACGAAGTATGAGGAAGCAATGCGAGTTGCGAATGAGCGCACACAGAGATTTGAACAATTTATGGTCTTGCATATGAATCAAGGTTTGGGAGGAGGAGATGAGGAAGATGAGGAGGATGAGGAAGAGTTGATTAAATTTGTTAAAATATGAAACTTTTAATATGTATTTTTAAAATTTATTTTTATTTCATATTTTTCATGAATTATTTTTATTTTGATGAATATGGATATAATTTTTTTTTCACTTTTAATCATAAATTATTTTATTTTTTAATTTAATTTTACAAAATTTAAAAATGTCATAAAATTTAAAAATACATATTTATTTATTCTAATTATATTATTATAATTATAATATTTTTTATATAATATTATAAATATTAGCTAGGGGGTAATCTCCTCACAAAGTCCAAAACGTATATCAATTTGTTAGGGGCTTTACCCCCTCGCAAATGTCTGACACACTTAGTTAGAGGTTTTACCCCTCACAAAACGTAAAACCCAGATGCATTAGCTAGGGGTTTATCCCCTAGAAAAATACATGCCACGTCTGTATCACTACTCTGCTCTTACGCATGTGCAGTGTAGCAGACTGAATTTTATGAGTTAAAATTTGCGAGGGGCCTATCACCTAGCCAATTTTGCGAGGGGTTTATCCCCTAGCTATTTATTTGTGATGCCCTGTTTAGCTAGGGGTCATATCCCCTCATAAATTTTTATTGTCTGATGGATTGTTTGCATTAGTGAGAGATTAAACCCCTAGCTAAAAATATTTTCTCTTGTAGTGAATGGCATTATTCTTAGTGGAAAAACTAGTTTGGTTCAACCTTTGAAACTTGGAGCTTGAGGATTCCAAGAATAAGTCTGCAAAGAAATACAATTCATTTGTATCAATAAACCCTTCAAGCAAGAATTCCTTAGACGCTTGAGATTTTACATTACAAATATTATAGTGAATTTTAAAATGCATTTATTATCTTTGGAAAATTTAAACACATATAGATTTTTTTTTGTTATTTCTGAGACATAATTCATGTCTTAGAGTTTAAAGATATTGTGTGGAGAAATTGTTGATCTAAATTGAGAGGAACCAATAAAAGAAATATCTAAACTTAGTCAATTTCATATATAGACTCTATTTTACCCAACATAAGATTGACTCACATGTAGGTGTGCATTATGTGAAGTTAGGTGATGTAATGCACCGGAAATAGCAGGCCACACTTAGGAGTCAATTTTTTATGAAACTGATAGATCTTGAGTGAAGCCAAAAGGATTATGAGTTGCTACAAGTGTAGTAAAAAGTTGTTCCTTGGAGTTTGGATTATGAGATTTTGTGGAAGTTGAGGCAACTCATTGGCCTCTAGATATAAAGTTCAAGGCTTAATGGTTTGAGGAAGTATGAACAAATTCTTCAACATATTTATGCAAGCATTCAAGGACAACATGTCCATATTTACCACACAATTGAAAAGTAGGTCTATTATCGGTGCTAACATTTCCTCCATGTCCACGGCCACGAGAAATATTGTTACGCCTTTGACCTCTAACATTTGAATATCCACTGCGACTTCTAGAAAAGTTTTGATCAAATTGGAATGCACAAGATTTGTAGAATCAATATAGAAACAATTTTTACATAAAATCATCTAGGGTTAAATATGTCTGACGTCCCTATAAATATGTCACCTTTCAAGTTTAGTCCCTCAAAAAATTTGCTTCAAACAATGGTCCTCACAAAGTTTTCTGTCCCTAAATGCAGTTCCTTCCATTAGAAGGCTTATGTGGCATATCGCCTGTGTTCTTTTCATGGCCACGTCAGTTTTGTTTTTAAATAATTTTTTTTATGATAAAATGTAGGCCCAAACACAGTGAACCATAATCCCCTTCTTCTTGTTATTTCACCGTGTTCCTACATTACACGAGTTCCCTTCCATTATTCACTTTCAACTGATTTCATTGTTCTTCTTCTTCTTATTTGTCTCCCTCCTCCATCTCTGACATATGTCATCTTCATCAAGGTTAAGGAAGTTTGTGTCGTACTATTCCACGAGTGTGACGAACCGTGGAGTGAAAAGGTGTAGATGCAATGGTCCTATGATTTCATACATGTTCAAGAACAAACAAAATAAAGGTAGATTATTTTGGAGATGTCTGTATTAGAAAAATGAGGGTACTTGCAATTTACTCATTTGGGATGATGAAATTGCACAAGGAAAAGATGATGATCAATGTGTATATGCAGAATAGAGGAAAGATGAAAGTAAGGTAAGGGATATGCAAGCTGTAGAAACTTTAAAGGGGCTTTATGAATCATCACTGAAGAAGAACAAAAGGTTCAAGATGAAGATAAAGACATAAACATTTTGGGGAAAGCTGAAGACAATTTGTGTTGTAGTTTCATTCTTAGTCAAGTTGTATTTGTTAATTAGGTGTAATTGTTGAATTGATCTTTGTCTGTAATGTTGTCTAAGTGGATTTGTCTCTAATGTTGTTTCATTGGTTTTGTCTGTAATGTTGTGTCATTGATTTTGTAATGTTGAATTGGTATGAAATAGAATTTAGAGTCATTGTTTTTGTATTGTTCAATTAGTATGGTATATGATTTGGTATTGTCTGTATTGTTCAGTTATGATCTTTAATATCACACAATGGCCCTCAATATTTTCACACAATCTGACCGATAAATTAGACATAGCGTAATGTATAATGTTGACATAGTATGTTGTGTAATTTTGCAGACAAGGTGGCCTTAAAATATAGACATAAAGTGACCTATAAGTTTGACATAATATGAGCTATAATTTTAGACATAAGATGACCTACAATTTTGGTATAATATGAGCTATAACTTTGTCATTAAGTGATCTATAATTTTGGC